TTGACTTCTTCCTTTGGATGCCCTTTCTTTCTCTTGCCTAATTGCCCTGGCTAGGAGGAATTGTTACGTCTGATGGGGAATATAGGAACTTTAAATTCTATATCCTTAACTACTATTTTATTTTACCATGAGCATGTATATTTTATAACATTAAAAAAAAGCATGATAGTTTTCAGTATTATAGCAACAATCACCAACTGGCCTTTGGTGATTTAGATTTCCTTGGTGAGTTAGAAATCTAATGGGAACAGTTTGGGAATCTGTATCCTAACAGGTATTTCCTTTTTTTTTTTTTTGAGATGGAGTCTCGCTCTGTCACCCAGGCTGGAGTACAGTGGCACGATCTTGGCTCACTGCAACCTCCACCTCCTGGGTTTAAGTGATTCTCCTGCCTCAGCCTCCTGAGTAGTTGGGATTACAGGCGTGCACCACCACACCTGGCTAATTTTTGTATTTTTAGTAGAGGCGGGGTTTCACCATGTTGGTCAGGCTGGTCTCGATCTCCTGACCTCGTGATCCGCCCGCCTCAGCCTTCCAAAGTGCTGGGATTACAGGCGTGAGCTACCGCTCCCGATCCTAACAGGTATTTCAAGTGGTCCCCATGGTCAGGTAACTGTGCTAGAGAAAGAGTGAACTGCATACAAATATGCATAATTAAGATTAAGAGGAAATTACCATAAAAGGAAATTAAAAGAATGGGATTGCTTTGAATGATGCTCAACTAAGAAATTGTAAAATTTGGAGATGATAAATGATTCTCTAGGAAATTATCAAATCTTAGAGATAGTAAACCTAGCTTATTTCAGATAGAATGGAAGAAACTAAAAAACATATGAGAGCTATTGCCTCACCTGTATCACTGGTGAATTATTTCAAATCTTCATGAAACACTTAATTCCTAATCTATTTAAAGTATTTCAGAGCAGAGAGAAAAAAGTAGTTTGCAAATTCTGCTGAAAAAGCCAGTATAACACCAACTCCAAAGCATGGCAAAGATTATGTATGCTTTGAAACTTAATTATTCTAAGATTGTGGTTAAAATATTTTATAAATATTATTTGGGAAAGTAATACACCACGTCTAAATGAAATTCATTCCACGAATCAAAGGATGGTTCTATGTTAGGAAATCTGTTAATATACTTACTTATATCTTAATATACTTAGTAATATCAGTGGGCCAAAGAGAAAATTATGATCTTTTAGTTTTCTGCACAAAATCCACATATGATAAAATTAACATCTTTAAGTGGTTTTTGAAAATATAAAACCCAAAACAAGATTCTTAGAAGAACAGAACTAGAACTAGCTTTTTGTTTGTTTTGTTTTGAGACGGAGTTTCCCCCTTGTTGTCCAGGCTGGAGTGTAATGGCACGACCTTGGCTCACTGCAACCTCTGCCCCCCGAGTTCAAGTGATTGCCCTACCTCAGCCTCCTGAGTAGTTGGGATTAGAGGCATGTGAGGCATGTGCCACCACACCCGGTGGTAATTTTGTATTTTTAGTAGAGACAAGGTTCCTCCATGTTGGTCAGGCCGAACTCCTGACCTCGTGATCCGCCCGCCTCGGCTCCCAAAGTGCAGTGATTACAGGCGTGAGCCACCGCTCCCGGCCTTAAGAGTTTCTTTAACCAAAGGTGTTGGCAGAGTGTTAGCTGGTATCATGCTTAATGATAAAACACTAGAAGTGATCTTGTTAAAGTTTGGAACAAGACCATAAATCAATTGCTATCCCAAATAAAATCTCAGTTTATTCTGACAAATGATTCTAAGGATTATTTAGAAGAATAAATATATGAGGATAATTCAGAAATTTCTCAACAGCAAAAAAATCGAGGGTGGAATCGAGGGTGGAATAATATATGAGGATAATTCAGAAATTTCTCAACAGCAAAAAAATCGAGGGTGGACTAATCCTATCAGATGTTTAAATATTATAAAGCTAAAGTAATGAAAACACTGTGTTACAGCTCCAGGACTAGCATACAAAACTAAAATAAGGAGCCCAGAAATAAGCACATGTAAATATAGGAGTTGCTTTTCAAGTTAATGGAGAAAAGAGTTTTTTAATAAATGGTTAACTTTTTCTTTTTTTTGCGGGGGAGACAGAGTCTTGTTCTGTTGCCCAGGCTTAAGTGAAGTAGCACCATCATAGCTTACTGCAGTCTCAAACTTGTAGGCAAAAGTGATCCGCCCACCTCAGCCTCCTGAGTAGTTGGGACTACAGGCATGTGCCACCACATCCAGTTAATTTTTAACTCAATTTTTTTTTCATATAGATGAGATCTCACCATGTTGCCAGGGCTGGGCTGGTCTTGAACTCCTCCTGGCCTCAAGCAGTCCTCCTACCTTGGCCTCCCAGAAGTGTTGCAATTACAGGCATAAACCACTGCTCCTGGCCTCAATGGTTAACTATTGAGGAGGATCAAAAGGATATCTGGTTTGCTTCTCATTCCAAAATAAATTCCAGTTTTGTCAGATTTGGATATTTTCAATATTAATCATAAACATTCTAGAAGAAAACATGTATAAAGACCTTTTTTCTAAGTCTAGCAAACCCAAAAGTCCTAAAAGGGGGAAATTATAAGCTTGTATAAAAATTGAAAATTCTGTATCACCAAAACAGCTTTTTTGGAAAAAACAGATAAACTAGAAAACAACGTGTACAATATTATCTGGCTTCTGCCTAAGTCATCAGCTCCATCTGCTGCATTCCCTCCTCCCCATCAATCCTACACACACTTAAACTACACACACTTACAGCTACACTCCGGTCTTTCCTTCCTGAGGGTGCTCAGTAAATAGTCATTGAATAAATGAATTAATTCTGTGAGAGTTTGCAGGTCAATATGTATGATATAATAAAACCTTTTTTTAATGAGATGGAGTTTCAGTCTGTCACCCAGTCTGGAGGGCAGTGGCTTGATCTCGGCTCACTGCATCCTCCACCTCCTGGGTTCAAATAATCCTCCCACCTCAGCCTCCTGAGTAGTTAGAATTACCAGTGTACACCACCACACCTGGCTAACTTTTGTATTTTTAGTAGAGATGGATTTCACCGTGTTGGCCAGACTGGTCTTGAACTCTTTTTTTTTTTTTTTTTTCTGAGATAGAGTCTTGCTCTGTTGCCCAGGCTGGAGTGCAGTGGCATGATCTCAGCTCACTGCAAGCTCCATCTCCCGGGTTCACGCCATTCTCCTTCCTCAGCCTCCCGAGTAGCTGGGTCTATAGGTGCCCACCACCACACCCGGCTAATTTTTTGTATTTTTAGTAGAGATGGGATTTCACCGTGTTAGCCAGGATGGTCTCGATCTCCTGGCCTCGTGATCCACCCGCCTCGGCCTCCCAGAGTGCTGGGATTACAGGCATGAGCCACCATGCCTGGCCCAAGTGATCAGCCTGGGCCACCTTGGCCTCCCAGAGTGCTGTGATTACAGGCATGAACCACTGTCCCCGGCCATAATAAAACTTCTTAAAATGAATAAAGAAGATTAACAATCCATTAAAAATTGCCAGAGAACAAGTTGGGCAAGTCAGGAAATTTTTTTGCATTTCTATGCAAATGACTAACAAATATAGAACTTTTAATAAATACCAATTAAAACAGCATTGAGGTTCTGTCTCCCTTCTTGAACACTGCCTCCTCATTTCTAACCATTTCCTTGGTGTCTTCCCAAAATGTCAACAAACCATACTGTGAACTCCTTTTAGGTCTTCCCTCTGTCTAGCATATACCTGGCATACATTAGATGCATTGTTATATAAACAAAAGTATCTGAGATATGTAATGATCCTCTGCGAGGCGTCAAGTGGGCAGAAAAGAGTAGAGGATTGAGGCCGAGTGGCCTTCCTTTTTTAACTCTCCTTTTCCTCATAGTTCCCTTAATGGTGTTAGCCTGCCTCTTTATTCTCTTAGCCCTTTTAAATTTCTTCAGAAGGACATGCTCCTTAGTGGCAGGAACAGGAACTTCTTTGAGTGCTGGTCAGCCAGCAAAAATGACTCTTTTTGTGTATGTAAACAAATGGTTATTATTGTTGTGATACAATTGCTTAATCATTAATAGGTGCTTTTTTTTGAAGTCCTGTGAATACTTTTCTTCGGACTTAATACCACAGCGTCTCAGATACTTTATCTTCCTTTGAGCGTTTTGGAAAAACAGACTAAAACTGTTCTCTCTATACAAAAATTTGTATTATTTGAAAAGATACAACAGGGATACCTAATGTTTAAGATAAGATTATAATATCTGCATAGTAGAAACCTCCAGCTTTTAGAGTTACAATTTTGTAATCTGAAATCCTATTTTTCGAATGTAATATTTACTTGCGCTAGCAAGTCTGGAAATACTTGTTGAAAGACTGGAATGATTAATGTAGATCCTTGAACACTTTCATGCTTTAAATAAAAGGACAGACAAATTTTGTTCATTTTAAAGAACAGTAGTGTAGCCATATTAAATACATTTGGAAAATACGAGGGAAAAATCCGACTCTTAATCTCACCTAAAAAATTGTGATAGACTTTTTTTTAATAGTTTCCAAATTTGTGTTTTTATGGTTAAAATTATGTATATTGCCTTTCTTCCCCACTTGATAAATCCTTAGCATTTTTCCATGTTGTTACGTCATTTAAAGACTATCACTTTAAATGGCTGCGTAATTGTCTCTTAGTCACATGGTTGTATTGTATGTGCAGTGCTTATGAAGAAGAGTGGGTGGTATGTTGTTTCTTTAAACATGTGACTCGTAACAAAAAGTTTTTTCTAAGAGAACTGCTAATTGTATGGATTTTGATAAGTAGGAGAACGGTGACCTTACTGCAAAGCAGTGACTTTTTATTTGTAAACATATGAACCTGAAACTTGAGGAAGTTGGTTGTCAGTTGTGTTAAACCATCTATTAGATAGATATTTTGAGACGTTACAAAGAAGTTGGGTAGCTGCTTATTTTTGAAGGGAGAATTTTGTCGTGAATCTTAATGTTAACATTATGTTATCTTATAGATCATGGAGCTTTGTGGTGCAACAAGACTTGGTTATTTTGGAAGAAGTCAGTTCTACATTGCTTTGAAACTTGTAGCTGTTGCCCAGTCTGGTTTCCCTTTAAGAGTGGAAAGTATAAATACAGGTAAATATAGAGTACACTAGTAACTGAAAGAAAATAGGCTTCTATTACAAATGAAGTCAAGTCAATAGAACTCTTGTGTCTTTCTGATCTTATAGTGGCATTTGTGACCTTGAGTGAAGTGTTGTGACTTTATTCCCGCTACCTTGCATTTCTCACTTGAAAATACTAGAAAAATATGTCTGTCTTTTATTACGGCATAGTATATGTACTTCATCTGTATTTGACTGTATGTACTGTTCAAATGGCAAATTTTTAAGAATTTACTAAAAGTTGTTTAGAAATATTTTAAGCGAATAGTTTTATTAAGGTAAATGATAAATTATAGTGACCATCTTCATATATAGCATCCCTGTTTTCTTCATTTCTAATAAAACAACATTATACTTTGTATTTTTGTTTGTTTGTTTGGGAAGGCTATGGAGGCTCCAGTTGAAATTAAGAAGTAACAGTTAACCTAAACTTTTTGATTGATAGAGACAATATTAAAATATTGGTAGACTAAAATCTAGTTACAGACATCTGACCGCAGTACAAGTTTGTATTAGTCCGTTTTTACACTGCTATAAAGAAATCCCTGAGACTGGGTAATGTATAAACAAGAGAGGTTTAATTGACTCACTTCCGCATGACTTGGGAGGCCACAGGAAACCTACAATCGTGGCAGAAGGTGAATGGAAAGCAAGGCATGTCTTACAGGAGAGAGAGAGAGAGCGCAAGGGGGAATTGCCACAGACATTTAAACCATCCGATCTCATGAGAACTCACTCACTATCACAAGAACAGCAATGGGGGAATTGCCCCCATGATCTGATCACCTCCCATGTGGGAATTACAATTCGAGATGAGATTTGGGTGGGAACACAGAGTCAAACCATATCAAAGTGTTACATCATCAGATAATTTGTTTTTCAAGTATTTAGAGACTTGTTGATGTGAAAGAAGATAGAAAGTCTACAAAGATAGGCACTTAAATGCAGAGGGTTCTTTCGTTTTCATAGAGTAAAAGGGAAAGAGAAAAATTAAGATTTTTAAAATAATCTGTACAGAAAAATTGCTGTAAAATTCTGTAAATATCAGAATTTGTAGAAATAGTTTGAAGTACCAGTTTAGTTTATTGGTCAGCGGAGGTTTTCATTGTGGACCTCTAGTGTGCCACACATCTTCTAGTGTTGGGAGTTTACATTCTTTTCAGGTAATTTTGAATTCTTTTACATGTATATTGAATAAGCTTAATAGTTTGCCTCCTTCATATGGAGGTTCTAAAGAGAGACAGAGGTAATCATATAATGGAGGTAAGTACACTTTCCTCTGAAATGATTCTGTAGCTGTATTTTTTCTGGTCTAAAAGTATCACTTATGATTTTACCTGCAAACAGTTTTTCAGTCCTTCCCCTTTCTCCTCTATTTAAAATTGAATGTAGACTAGAATACTGTGTACCATGTTTTTGGTAGGTGAACAGTAAGTTATTTTTAGGAATTTCTGCCATGAAAATTTCTAAATCTAGTCTCAGACTTAGTGACATATTCTGTGTTTTACTTAGAGGTCTAAAAGCTTACTTTAAAGACCCAGTGTGAGTAGAAGCAGCCTAGGCTTTGGGGTCTGACTGACCTAGGTTTAGGTCCTGTCAGTTACTACGAGCATGACCTTGCCATCATGAAACCTCAGTTTTCTTTTCTGTAAATAGGGACTTTGCAGGCGTACTGTGGTTACGAGGTGAAATAAGTGTTCAATGACAAGTGTAGGGCTAAACATACATAGACATTTGATATAGCCATTGTTATCACTCACTAGAAGGACAATTTGGTTTTATTACTTCTTTCTAGGTAAGAGTCTCCCTAAATAATGTAAGGGAGATTATGGTCCATATTTTGTGGTGATAGACATTTTGTGCCTTTTGTTTCTGTATACATTGTTACAAAAATTCTGATATCTAATTCTTGCCTTTAATTTTTAATATATATGTCCTTTTTTATTTTAAAGTAATGATTATTTTGTGGTTAACAGTAAAGGACCTTCCTCTGCCAAGATTTGTTGCTTCAAAAAATGAACAGGAATCTCGCCATGCAGCCTCATATTCTTCAGATTCTGAAAATCAAGGGTCATATTCTGGTGTAATTCCCCCACCACCTGGCAGGGGGCAAGTGAAAAAGGGATCCGTAAGCCATGATACGGTTCAGCCTCGTACATCTGCAGATGCACAGGTAATCACATGCATGTAAATATTAGCAGTTGATGCCCTGTGCAAATGCTTCACTAAAACATTTATTGGTAGCTTAATAATTAACATGTTACAATTTTAAAATATTGTTCTTTTCTAGGAACCTGCCTCCCCAGTAGTTTCACCACAGCAATCCCCACCAACTTCTCCACACACATGGAGGAAGCACAGCCGTCATCCCAGTGGTGGGAATAGTGACAGGCCTCTTGCGGGACCTGGGCCATTTTGGTCTCCCTTTGGTGAAGCACAATCAGGTATTTAGAGATTTATTGATTAGAGTGTGTCATTGTGTTGCCCAGGCTGGTCTTGCACTCCTGGGTTCAAATGATCCTCCTGCCTCAGCCTCCTGAGTAGGTGGGGATTATAGGCTTGTGCCACAGAACCTGGCTTAGAGATTTTTTAAAAATAACAATTATTTAGGGTTGTAAATTGAAGGAAACTTGATAATATTCCTTCAGGAGTTGCCTTCAAGACAGTTTTTAATTGTAAGTTAAGTTAAATAAAAGCAAAAGCCAACTATGAAGATTTATAAGTGGATACATTGCTTTGAAAAGTGGTAATTGCATTTATGTGTATCTATGATGCTTAGACACATTTATAGATACCAGATTCTCTAAAGGTAAAATGAATAATTATTTCCCACAATATTATGTATAAATTACATAAATTTTATTGACAAGGAGAGCACAAAATAATTGAAGATATTTAAATGAGGTATAATTTCTAATTGAACAGAAAAGATTCCATTTTGGAAATTGTTAGATTTCTTCAGAGTAAGAGTTTGAAAGAAAACTTCCTGATAACTTAAGTTTTTTCCTCAAACATGAGTCAGCATGTTTACCCATTCTCCTTATAGGTTCTTCTGCTGGTGATGCAGTGTGGTCAGGGCATTCCCCACCTCCACCTCAAGAAAACTGGGTCAGTTTTGCAGATACTCCACCAACCAGTACTCTTTTAACCATGCATCCTGCTTCTGTCCAGGTGTGACATTTTATTGGTATTGCATTTTTATTTGCTTCATTCAGAGTATTGCTCCAGTCATCATTTTTATATTTTGCTGTTGCAGATTTTATAAATGCAAATCCATTCATTTATTTAAAAGCAAAATTCTGCTCTGTGCATTTCAAATCTGTTATCATTGGAATGTTTCAGCTGATTTTATTTCAGTTTCTGATTTCCTAGTGAAGTTTTGAAAGGTTTCTGCATCTGGAAATATATTTGCTTGGCTTTCTTAGCACATTTTCATAACTCTCTGTTGCTTGCATAATTGCTGTCATTCTACTCATTTCTATAATCATTGTGCAAAAACATATCCAATAATCTGACTAACAGATATGTGGTTTTACATTTTAAATATCCACAAAAAGCAAGTTTTATTTTCAAAGATAAATAACCTAGCAATCTTGGTCCATATAATCATGTAGGTAGATACTGTACTGAGGAAAAAATGTTTCATTACAGGACCAGACAACAGTACGAACTGTAGCATCAGCTACATCTGCCATTGAAATTCGTAGGCAATCCAGTAGTTATGATGATCCCTGGAAAATAACAGATGAACAAAGACAGTATTATGTAAATCAGTTTAAAACCATTCAGCCTGATCTAAACGGATTTATTCCAGGTGAGTTGTTGAAAACAGAAGTTCTTCTAGATGGGACAGGACAGTCTCAATTTCATAATCTCAAAGATACTGTTTTATTGGTCATAGATTTTAATTATAAAATAATTATCAGATTATTTGTCTAAAGAATTTAAAATCACTGGGAGCCAAAAACATGACATATTCACATATTAAAAATATCTTTTCCCAGTTAAAAAAGTCTAAGACTCTTACATTCTGTTGGTGGATCCGTAAGTTCAGAATAACATTAAACAACACTGTTTTAATATTTCAGGATCTGCAGCTAAAGAGTTTTTTACAAAATCAAAACTTCCTATTCTTGAACTTTCTCATATTTGGTAAGTGTGGTATATCATTAGTTGGGTGACTGGGTTGTTTCCAAGGAGTTTCTAGCAGATAGATTTTAGAGCCTTAAAAAATAAACAACTAACCCTTCAAGAATGCTGTCAAAGAACTCAGTATTTCCTTACAATAGCCAGCTTCTCTCTCATTCTGCAGAAAAGAAATAAGTGATACTGATACAGTAGTTCTTTGTAAAGAGCTAAAATTCTTTAAGCTGTATCAGCTGTCTTTTTGTTGCATGAGATAAAAGTTAGTTTGCACATACATGGTTATATTTATCCCATTGGTGTTTTATCAAGTTTAGTTAAGTCCTATACCATGCCATAACTTTAGGAATGGTGTTAGCTTCCATTTAACCAGAGACTTAAGAATAGCTGTGTTGGAATATGGTTGGAATTGGCCATTAGAACACAATGTGTAATCACAAATTACTTTATAAAAACAGGCGGGGGCCGAGCACAGTGGCTCATGCCTGTTATCTTAGCACTTTGGGAGGCCGAGGCAGGCGAACTGCCTGAACTCAGGAGTTTGAGACCATCCTGGGCAACACGGCGAAACCCTGTCTCTACAAAAAAATTAGCCGGGCATGGTGGCACATGCCTGTAATCCCGACTACTGGGGAGGCTGAGGCACGAGAATCGCTTGAACCCAGGAGGTGGAGGTTTCAGTGAGCCAAGATCACGCCACTTCACTCCAGCCAAGGTGACAGAACGAGACTCTGTCTCAAAAAAACAAAAGCAAACAGAAAACACAGGCTGGGAGTTGTGGTTCACGCCTGTAATTCCAGCACTTTGGGAAGCCGAGGCAGGCAGATTGCTTGAGCCCAGGAGTTCAAGACCAACCTGAGCAACATGATGAAACCCCGTCTCTACAAAAAATTAAAAAATTAGCAAGGTGTGGTGGTGCAAGCCTGTAGTCCTGGATACTTGGGAGGCTTACATGGGAGGATTGCTTGAGTCCAGGAGGCAGAGTTTGCAGTGAGCTGAGATCATACCACAGCACTGTAGCCTGGGCAACAGAGTGAGACTCTGTCTCAAAAATAAGTAAAAAATGATTATCAAATAAACATAAATGTTAATTTCAGTGTGTATCAATGTATTTCTCTATATTCTAAATCATTTTTAATAGGTTTTTGGTAGCATAGAGTGCTTAATACAAGGTATACTTAGTACAAGCATAGAGTGCTTAGTACAAGGTAGGTAGATAACACCTAAAACTGAAAACTCAAAAACTAGTAATATATGCATGCTATTTATAGTTTAAGGCAATCAAGACAAAAGTGGTTGTCTGTGTATCTAGGAAAGGGCATAGACAGCAAGGTGGAGTGGCTGTATTTCTGTTTTAAGCCTTACAGTTCTACTCAGTGATTTAAAGTATGTACATGTTGGCCGGGCGCAGTGGCTCACGCTTGTAATCCCAGCACTTTAGGAGCCTGAGGCAGGTGGATCACATGAGGTCAGGAGTTTGAGACCAGCCTGGCCAAAATTAGTCGGGCATGGTGGCGTGTGTCCGTAATCCCAGCTACTCAGGAAGCTGAGGCAGGAGGTGGAGGTTGCAGTGAGCCAAAGCTCATGCCACTGCACTCCAGGCTGGGCGACAGAGCAAGACTCCATCTCAAAAAAATGTAAACAAAAAATAAAGTACATACATGGTGAATTTTGATAACATAAAAGCAAACTTTTAAAAAATGTCACTAATTTATTACATGTGCCTTCTAAAAATGCATGTGAGTTACAGGTCATTCTTTTTGATGACCTTAATTATTGGGGCCACTTTTTAGAGAATTTCAAACACACAGGAAAGCTTAATAGTACCATAAACCCTCATATACTACCACCTAGATTCTGCAGGTAACATTTTGCTACATTTGCTGTATTACACATCTTTCCGTGTATGGGATTTTTATAATTACTGAGGTTTTGCACTTTCTCATGGAAAATATTTCTCTTGCTTCTTTTTGAGAAATGAAAGGATCCAAAGCGGAATGTGATTATATTCACAATAAACTTATCTTCTAGGGAACTCTCAGACTTTGATAAAGATGGTGCATTGACACTGGATGAGTTTTGTGCTGCTTTTCATCTGGTGGTTGCTAGGAAGAATGGCTATGATTTACCAGAAAAACTTCCTGAAAGCTTAATGCCCAAACTGATTGATTTGGAAGATTCAGCAGGTAAGACTGGGAGCTAAAGAGAGCTGTTTGCATGCCTTGATAAACATCATGCTTGATTCTGAAAGAAAAATCAAGATAGAGGTTAACCAGAGCTTAATAGCCAAGGTATTTCATCAAGTGTACATTGATTTGTCATCAGAATAGGATGTATGAGCCAAACTTGGATTTGTCTTATTCAGTCTACTTTTAAAGATAAAGATAAGTAATATATACCACTATTTTACCTTTATATTTGTGGCTTGCCGAGATTTGAAGAGCATTTCAGTGTCTTGTTATTTTGCTATCCTTTAATTGTGATAAATATTGTCTCAAGTGGGTAAAGTAACCCATCTTCATTATAAACATTTTTCTCTTTAATACGTCTTAATTTGTTGAAGGGAAATTACCTGGTTCATCGTTAGACCTTTACAGTTGTGAGTGTTTTTCTTTAAAATGCCAAGCTCTCTTCTGCAGACTCAAAGAAATCTGGAGTTTTTGTGTTTGATTTTGGAGAATGCTGTGTTGTTAACAAGAATGCTAAATGCTCGTATTTATTGGGACCTTTCTTTCTTTCTTCCTTCTCTTTTTTTTTTTTTTTTTTTTTTTTTTTTGAGACGGAGTCTCATTCTGTCACCAGGCTGGAGTGCAGTGGCATGATCTCGGCTCACTGCAGTTTCCACCTCCCGGGTTCAAGCGATTCTCCTGCCTCAGCCTCCTGAGTAGCTGGGACTACAGGCACACGCCACCATGCCCAGCAAATTTTTGTATTTTTAGTAGAGACGGGGTTTTACCACGTTGGCCAGGATGGTCTGTATCTCTTGACCTCATGATCTGCCTGCCTCGGCCTCCCAAAGTGCTGGGATTACAGGCGTGAGCCACCGTGTCTGGCCTGGACCTTTCTTTAAAAAGGAAAAGAATATCAAGGGCTAAAAATTAGTACATTTTTCTTAAATTCTGAGTGAATAAAAGGAAATCTAATGTTTAATTCGTAATGAGCCTAATTAAAATAAATTATTGTCTTCAGTGTTTCTAAATTCTCATTTGGATGTGATGATGGAAAGAATTTGATACTTTTAAAAGGGAAGTTCAAATAGAATTTGGCTCTCAAAAGGGCATTTTTCTATCAGGCAGCATCTCTTTAACCTAAAAATATACATGTCTGACTTAGTTGTCTAAATTACACAGAAGGAATGAGATGCATGAAATTACTGTCACAAAGAGAACAGTCTCCTTGGAGTCAATAATCTGAATGTGCTTCTAGTTTTGCTAATTTCGCCTGTGACCTTGGGCAAGTTCTAATCATTTACTGTATTTTTCCCTTCTGTTTCTCCACCTGAAATGTGGATTTGATGCCATTCACATTTCAGGACCTGACTTGTACACTGACCTTTTATCAACCAATAGGTTGATTCTAAAAATATGGCATTGATTTTAATTTCTTAAGCACATTTTTCTATGATAATCCTAGCAATTTGGGGATTATTTCAGGTAGTTGTGAAGCATCAGCCTCTAACTTGAGCTGAAAGCTTAGTATCTTTATTAGGTAATTTTGATTCAAAGTACTTTGATTTACCTACTTAAGAAATAAAAACAACTTCTTTGTTAAACACCTATGATAGCAACCAAAAGAGAGAAGAAAATGTGGTAACTTCACACTTTCAGTATCATTGATTTAGAAATTGGACTTGCACCTAGAGCTTTTATATGACTTCAAGCCTTTGAAAACCGACAGCACAATAATACAAGAAACTAATTTAAATGAAGTTTAATGTCTTGTAGGTGATTTTGTAGAGGCTTATCTGATTCTGTTGTCTGCTATATTTGTCAGTGAATCTGGCTTTTGCATACATTTATTGAGTTTCTTTTTCCTTTATTTAATTTAAATAAAAATCAAGTTCTTTGTAAATTTGATCTATAAGGTTGATGGTCCAGGAAGTTTTTTTCTGGGCATTTATCTTTTTGTCTAATTTTACACCCATTAGATCTGTTTAAAAGACAGACTGATTTTATTGCCTGTATGTATCTATGTACTGTTGCCCTAAATATAATTTTGAAACTATCAGAGACCCAGATAGTTTTTTTTTCCCCTCACAGCATATGGTTTTCTCACCAAATTTATTATAAACATTTGGATCACACGGTATTACATTCAGATCTGCTTTTCATATTTACAAATGATAAATTTTGGAATTCTGTTGATTCTGGGGTGATGTAATACAAATTATCATTTTTTCCCCACCTATCATAAACCTGAGATTCACATGACAAAAGGTCCTTCGAGTATAGAAATTGTTTTGCGACTCTGTGGGTCAGTCAGTATCCGTAAAAATCATTATAAAAAAAAATTAGCCGGATGTGGTGGTGTGTGTGCACCTGTAGTCCCAGCTACTTGGGAAGCTGAGGCAGGAGAATTGCTTGAACCCTGGAGGTAGAGGTTGCAGTGAGCCAAGATCGCACTACTGCATTCCAGCCTGGGTGACAGAGTGAGACTGTCTAAAAAAAAAAAAAAAAAAATTATAAAAATAGCTGTGTTTTGGCTGGGCGCGGTGGCTCACGCCTGTATTCCCAGCACTTTGGGAGGCCAAGGCAGGTGGATCACGAGGTCAGGAGATCGAGCCCATCCTGGCTAATACAGTGAAACCCCGTCTACTAAAAATACAAAAAAAAATTAGCCGGGCATGGTGGTGGGTGCCTGTGGTTCCAGCTACTCGGGAGACTGAGGCAGGATCATGGCATGAACCTGGGAGGTGGAGCTTGCAGTGAGCTGAGATTGCGCCACTGCACTCCAGCCTGGGGGACAGAGCGAGACTCCATCCCCCAAAAAAAAACAAAAAGAAAAAATAGCTGTGTTTTTAAAAGGTCAGGGTTAAGAGGGTCATACTCAAATAGTTTCTTTTGGCTGACATTAGAATTTATTGTAAGTATTCCTCTGTGGAGCCTTTCTGACTATAGGCAGAGGTAGTTTATCTCATTTCTGATCTCTTATGGCATTTTCTACATGCTAATTACTGAAACATACCACACTAAATCCTGGTTTTTTTTCCGCCTTCCTATCACTATACTCTGAATTCCTTGAAATAAGGGAAACGTATCCTATTTATTGTAGTATGCTTAAAACATACCACTTTGCCAGGCACTGCACTAATATTGGATGAATTCTACATGTGTGCCATTTTCAAAGGAAGGTATTTTTCTTGACATTTTTCTACCTTTGAAAATATAGCGATTTGTTATCCTAGGTTTATGATGTTGGGACATACTAAAACATTAGTTCCACAAATATTCTGTACTTAAAGTTTAACTGTTAGAGGCAAATAGATGGTGAGCAGTGGTCACTTGAGTTATAGCTCCTTGGAGTAACATGCTAGGCTTTCTATAGGCATGCAGACTGGGTGGGGTAAATGTGCATTTTTTTCCAAAATTACTTGAACAGGTATGCAGGGTTAAATCATAGATAAAATAGAACTACTAAGGATTATAGGTAGAAGTACTTCTGTCGACCTGAGTTAGAATATTTAGTAACATCAGCACTGAATTTGGCAACTAAAATAAATAGAAAGGGAAACTTGATTTTTGTTGTCTTACAAAGGAAAGCATACAAAATTCATCTGCAGAAAGAGCTTTCTGAAACTGAATTAAAGAATATTTAGCTTTTTAAGAGTGTTTGTCTTCTTTAAAAAAAAAAAGATTAAGGTGGCCTGCCACAAACACATTGAGGTACTATACATTTTAATGTCTAAAGAATCTTCTCCTTTGCAAAGCACAGTTGCAATTTTGATGTACTTCTGTGATTGTTTGATACATATCTTTCTCTCAAACTAAACTAGAGCCTTCTAGGAAGGTAGGAACTGGATCAGTTTTGTTCATTATATCTCAGTGCCTAGCAAGGTGCAAATTGAGTACAGGAATAGACATTCACATTGTTGAAATGATTAAATGACTGAGCCAATGAGTTTTAACTGTTTTCTACCTCTACACCACACTGCTCACATGTGCAACTCGCCAATCTCTGAGATGCTGAAAGAAGGAAAGGGATGTGTGCTTCCCTGTATCCATCTCCTTCCGCATGATCACTACTTTACACAGTAGATTTGGGCAGATGTTTCATTGTTGTTTATAGACTGCGTTGCATGGATCTACAAACTCTAAGAAGTACTTCCAACATGAATTTTTTTTTTAAGCCAGAGAAAAGAAGGCACATGAGACTTTCCATGAATAGTTTACTAGAAATCCACATAAATTCAGATTTGAGACTACCCTTTGTGTAAGTAAATCACTGTTAAGAGTTTCTCATATTCATCCAGAAATTTTTAACATATATATAAAAACCTACACACAGGTATTGGTGTTTATGCAGATGTAATCATACTACACATCCTTTTTTTTTTTTTTTTTTTCTTACAATGTTGGACATCTTTGTACTTTACAATTGATATGGTTTGGCTGTGTCCCCACCCAAATCTCATCTTGAATTCTCAGGTTTGTGGAAGGGACCCAGTGGGAGGTAATTGAATCATGGGGGCAGGTCTTTCCCATGCTGTTCTTGTGATAGTAAATAGTCTCACGAGATCTGATGGTATTATAAAGGGAGTTTCCCTACACAAGCTCTCTCTTTGCCTCCTGCCGTCCATATAAGATGTGACTTGCTCCTCCTTGCCTTCTACTATGATTGTGAAGTCTTCCGCAGCCATGTGGAACTGTAAGTCCGTTAAACCTCTTTCTTTTGTAAATTGCCCAGTCTTCATATGTCTTTATCAGCAGTGTGAAAATGTTCCGATACAATAATATATGGAGCCATCACATTTATGATTCAAAGTATTCCATAATATGATGTGCTTTAACCAGTTTCTTATTGATGGATTTTGGGGTTGTTTTCTGGCTTTATCTTTAAAACACTGCTGCAGTGAACATGATTATATGTATATCTTTGTTTTATACAAATAACCTGGAATCTTTGTTTTTGAAAATTCATTATTCAGGTACCCTTAGTTGCAGAAGAAAAAATAATGAAAATATGCACT